GTCTATGGCACTACTCTTTCTATCACTACTGGCGCAGTGAGGGCTGTCCCCACTCGCAACACCTGCCACTTATGGGCGACGGACCCATACCTGTGATCATCATAATGTCGGCCTACCTCTTATTTGTAACCCGACTCGGGCCGTGGATTATGTCCAGAAGACCAGCGCTTGAGCTCCGGGGTCCTATGCTTACCTACAACACAGTTATGGTTGCAATAAACGCTTACTTCTTCTTCAAGTTTATATCACTGTCACAATACGGACGGGTGTTTGCCAACTTCCAGTTCCCCTCCAAGTATGACAACTCTGAGCGCACTCATGCCCTCATCCTAACCACATACCTGTATTCCGTATCCAAATTCATCGATCTCTTGGACACCGTATTCTTTGTGCTGCGCAAACGAAACCGACAGGTGACTGGCCTACACCTGTACCATCACACCATTGTACCACTGCTAGCGTGGATGACAATGAAGATCATGCCTACCGTTCCCGCCTTCCATATCTTCGGTATACTTAATTCACTCGTCCATACGATTATGTACTCGTATTACGCGCTGTCGGCGTTTGGACCCAAGATTCAGCCCTACCTCTGGTGGAAACGCTATATCACCCAGGTCCAGATCATCCAGTTTGTCATATTTATTACCTATTCCATACTGTTGGGCAAATACCAACAAGGATACCCCCAGATTTGGTTCTGGGTCGGCTTTATTCAGAGTCCAGTGTTTTTCTACATGTTTACCAATTTTTATATCAAATCCTATTTGAAGGCAAAACTCAAGAGTAAAACACATTAATGTGACTTTTGGTGTCATTTTTATCTACAAAGTTATTGTGATTTTTCAATGCCTCTCATACTGTCCATTGTATTGAAACAGTTTATGTTTTTATATATATTTATAAAATAATTTATTTGTAAATTTAGTAATTTTTACTTCATTGCCTGTATTTATTGATTTGTGTTTTATGTTAATTTAATAAATCACTTTTATTTTAATTATTATTATAGTTCAATACAGTATGTATATTATCAATAAAAACTAATTTCAATGTATTGGTGTTTTTTATTATTCTAGCAAGTAAACATTGAATTTATTATATTTATAAAGATATGAATTTTATAATAACTTATGGCTCTTATGATTAAAACAAGTGCTCTTATAATTATTTGTTTATTTTAAACATTACACAATTTATTGATGGGTACCTGGGTACTAAAGTAGTTTCCATGAACTC